TTGAGAGTCTATATATGTATTTGGTAAAAACAAATTGTTGGCTTTTCTTTCATATATTGACCTCCAGAGAACTTCCCAAAGACACTTTATTTTTCTTTATGTGAGGCCTAACCCCAAAAGACCTTTTAGGAGTACTTTTCGTTCTTAAAGAATTCCATAAAATAATCGAATAAAAGAAAATGAGCTAATGAAGAATATATAATACTAAAACAATTTGCATACAAAATATCAATGCCACATTGGATCATTGTCATTCACTGTTCATTGCATTTTATTAGCTACTACTGATGGTAACAGTCGTAAGGGAAAGAAAATGTTTAACAAGAAGTTGACAAATACTTTGAGCCCATTGATTTAGTCGAGATTGAGATTGCCTAAGCACATTTGACCTCCAACATTGGTGGTGACTGGGGTGGCAAATAGGCAGGTCGGGAGATATTGGCAAATTGAAAACGGGTCATGCAAAAATGAATAAAATATTCGATCCGATTCATATTTAATACGGATAGAAAATAGGTTAACCGACACATGACTTCTTGAATATGATCACTTTTGGAAGAATTCCTAGTTTCCCAAACTTGAGGAACCCCGTTAGTTATCCATTTTTAACCCCATTAGTTATCTATATTTTAAGTGATAACATGGTTTTTTAAGTGATAACATGGATTTGATCCAATTTTTTAAATATTTAAATTTTTTAATTCTCTATTCCCTTTTGACTCCTTTGTTGGAGCTATTGCTCCTTTGACTCGAACCCACAACCCTGAGGTTGTAGGTGGGAGATACTGACTATCACATTAATCCCTATTGTCTATTTGATGTAATTTTTAAATATTTATTATCCAATCAAATTTTTAGTAAATAATATGGATGAATAATAATTATTTTTTTAATCCATTTTCACCACTAGGTGTTGACCATGTCGACAACGGTGAGGTGGAGCATGGGTTGGACTTTCTTGCTGCCGCAGGGATGTTGCGTGTTTATCATATACTTTTTGTGATTTGCCTAATTTTAAATATCAGAGAGTGCTTGGGATCACCTCAAGCTAAGAGCGAGCCTTGCTTACACGCCTTTATAATTTTTTAAAAACAAACGGAATTGACCATAGTATATATGATCTTGAAATAAATAATTTAATTGAAGCGGACGCATGATTTAAAGTTCGCGGGTGCACTTTTTGATTCAACTAAAATTTAATTTGTATATAGAGTGTCAACTATTAATATATTATTATTTTCTAAAAATATATACATGGTCGAAATTTTTGCCGAATTTTACGGGTGCCGGCGACCCTTCTACCTATTCCATAGTTCCGCCTTGAATGAGGTGCCTATAGTTTTCACCTTTTCATAAATCATAAGGTGTTGGTGAGAAACGATCTTCTATATATTTTCATTTAAACTGTCAGATAAACCACATTCTCACAGTTCCATACTCTTCCTAGTCTCTCTCTCAAAAATACTGTCATGGATATTGTGTTGACTCAGTTCCATAAGGTCCAAATGGAGGCCATTCTGGGGCCAAAATCGGAGCCATTTGAAACCTTCATTTCCAATCACATGGAAAGCTCTGAGGAAAAAGATTCTGAGGCTAAGTCAATGTTCAATATGTTGAAGCACAAGGATCCTAACTCCCTTGTTCTTAAGCTTGCTCTTGGCTCTTCCTATGACATTTATTCCCGTGAAAAGTGTACTGTCCTCTTAAAACAGTTGTTAACTGATGAGGATGACTTGTGCACTTGGAGCAATCTAACTGTGTCTACTCAATTCACCGTCAAATCAATCCTCCTTAATCGAATCATGTGCGAAGAATCAAGATTCATCATCCAAGACCGTGACATTGTTTCGAAGCTGGCTGCTTCACTTCTTCCAGATAATAATTGGCCTGAATTATTGCCATTCTTGTACCAGTGCCTCACTTCCACTTCAAACAACTACCTAAAGAGGTCAGCTTTCATGTTATTTGCGCAACTAGCCGAGGACATTGGTGAAACAATTGTCACTTGCGTAAAAGATATGCACTCACTATTCTTAAATACACTGAATGATGATACCCTCGATCTAGATGTGAGGATCGAGGCCATGAGTGCTGTGTTCAACTTCATTAAGTGCGTATTGAGTTCAAATGTAAAGGAGTTGTTTCAGGATTTACTGTCAGGTATGATGAGGACGTTGACTAATGCATTGAGCAACAATGAGGAGAAGGCTGCAGCACATGAACCTCTGAAAATTTTTATTAAGTTGGCGAAGAATGAGCCTGGTTTCTTCAGGAGGCAGCTAGTGGATGTGGTGAATATCATGTTTGAGATAGCAGAATCTGAGAGTTTAGATCAAAGAGCGAGGCACTTTGCAGTTCTATTCTTTATAACTCTGTTCGAGGCGAAGGAGAAGGCCGCAGGCATGCTGAAAAGATTGCCTTTGTTTATTAGCAGATGTTTTGCAATGTTATTAAAGTTATTACTAGATATTAAAGATGACCCTGCTAGGAATAGTGGCGAGAACGTGCATGATTATGCAGGGATATTGATCTGTGACCACAAAATTGGTGAGGAAGGTTTACACTGGTTTTCTCAGATGGGCTGCTTGCTGGGCAATTTCTCAGTTGTTGATTTACTTCTCTCCGCTTGTGCAAGAACAATACCATAACCAAATATTCCTTGCATTAGCTGCAGCCATGGATGATTTTCAAAATCCTCGAGTGCAGGTCTAACCTGTGTGATACATAACATTTAGGAATGCTGATAGCCCTTTGCGTAAATGCAGGCTAAAAGAAGATCAAATTATCCTTGATGCATGAAACTACAAGCAAAAGTTTTTATTCTTACTGCACCTTTGCAAGGGGGTTGCATATAGCATATAGTTGATGATCTTTAACCTTGTCTAGGTTTAAGACCTGTTTAGTTTTTTAATTTTTGTACTTTTTATCCACAGATAGAATAACAGATAAACTAATTTGCTTCCTTTACTCTTTCGCATTTTCATAGGCATTTGCAACGGCAGCTCTCTGCACCTTCTGTGTGCCTGACGAGCCAGAAACTTTGATACCTTACCTAGATGAGATAGTTAACAAACTGCTGGTACTTCTACAGGTGTGCAAATATAAAGGTCACCAAATTACTAAGTATGTCACTGCTGAGTGCTGACAAGTGCAAGAGACTAATGGTCACTGCTGTTGCTTGAAATGCAGAATAACAAACAAATGGTCCAAGAACAAGCATTAACTGCATTGTTTTCTATTGCTCAATCTGTTAAGGTATTAACTGGTGTATTTATTTTTGGCTCAGTACTATTTCTACTTATTTATGAATAATGAAGGCAAATATGTATATTATATGTCAACAGGAGCACTTCCGAACAAACTATGACACTGTTATGCCACACTTGAGAAGTTTCCTGAGAAACGCACATCTTAATTCTAATCTCATTCTTCGTGCCAGAACAATGGAGTGCATAAGTGTTGTTGGGATGGCTGTTGGCAAGGGGAAATTCAAAGGTGAAGTAGAGCAGGTCTTTTCTGCCAATTATGCCCAGTGGCTCCAGTACATGTTTTTTAGTTCCATACTGATGAAGTGCTGAACACATAATAATTCCATCGATTGGAATTGCTTCTTTCCTGTTCATTTGTTATGCTATGTCAGATGGATTTACTGTAGTCAAACCATAGTATATCTCTTGCTCGAGTTACAACGTCTTTCAACAACAAAATAATGACAGGAACATCCTTATTCTTACCAATTCCGTTTTGGTCTCCTTCCTTTCCGCCTCTCTTGGAATTTCCTTCTTGTCATGGCATGCGCTAGTGTGAGCTTATTTGCTTTTGGCCATTTCTCAACATAGAGCTTACTTTTATTTGTTTCCTTTTAATGTTTTCATTAAAGGTCATGGAAGTGCTTATGTTAGTACAAGGATTACAAGCGAAGGCGGATGATCCTACTACTAAGTACATGCTAGTCGTATGTGTTAATCAGTTGATTTTAATATCAAAAGTTCTTTATAGAATGGCTCCCCCTTTATTTTCTTTATTTCATTGCAGGCATGTACTAGAATTTGCAAGTGCATGGGACACGATTTTCTTCCTTATATGAGTGCAATCATGCCATTTTTAATTAAATGTGCTGAGCTTGAACCCGTTATGACCATATATGCGAAGTTGGATTATGAATATTACGAGTTAGATGATAATAGATAAGCTTTTGTCATTGAGATTTTTGGACTATGAAAATTATGAATTAGATGATAATAGGTAAACTTTTATCATTGAGATTTGATCATCTCGGCGGAGCTTTTGATACTGTTAAGAAATGGACCTAAGTTTAACTAAATCCTAAAAGCTAGCTCATGAGGTGAATCTTATTTAAAACAATATAAGGAGATCAAGTCCCCCATCCACTACCAATGTGGGAATCTAACACACCCGGCACGCCTATGCCTGTCAATTGGAGCATGGACAATATAATATGGGGTCCCAAATACGGTAAACCAAGAATTTAAATGGGGTCGGCTCTGATACTATGTAAAAATGGACTTTGAGCCTAATTCAACTAAAACATTAGTTCATGAGGTGAGAATTGTACAAAATCATGAAACCAAGTCCCCCATCCACTACCGATGTGGGAATTTAATAGCTATGATTGATGTCTAGTTCTTGCTTTGGATTCATCAAAAAGGTGAAGCCTATTGGGGAGAAGCGGTTATCAGGACAGGGTGTACCTAGGATCTGACTTAAGCTTTACATCTTGTAGTATATAGAAAATCAAGCTTGGAGATAAAACGGTGTTCAAGAAAGGAGATGTCCCAGAGGAGAAAATTGTAGCCTGTGATATGCTATGCTGGTACAGTGATATATTTGCAGGAACACTTCTACCCATGAATTTCCTAGGTTGGCCTGAATGATCGATCACCTGCATGTTTCTTTTTCTCATGTGTTGTTAAGTGAGGTCAAATTGAACAAGGGATAGCAATGACTTCATGCATGAAGCAGGTTGTTTCAATCTTTATTCCGCTTTTGAAACTCTATATCCACAATACTGTCAGGAGATCTGCTGTTGTAGCCGGAAGACTTTGATGCTGAGGAAGCTGAATTGTTAAGGGGGGAAAGAGAGCAAGAAGAAGAAGTTTTTGAGAATGTATGTTCTATATAAGAATGGAGTTCAGACATAAGCACACCGTGTTTTCCTTTTACAAGCATTTCACTTTGAATCTACCATTATTTTTAAATCCATCTAACTTTTTATTAGGTTGGTGAAATATTGATAACATTGATCAGAGTTTTCAAGGCTACTTTCTTGCCTTTCCTTAAGGAGTTGTCACCATATTTGTTACCTATGTGGGTAAGTCATAACCTCTAAACCCTCTAGATTGTTTTTTATTATATATATTATTGTTTTCCACATTGAATTTTTCTTGCTTTTATGAAGGCCAAGGAGACAACAACTAATGAGAGATGTACATCTATTTGTATCTTCGATGCTCTTGTGGAGGTGTGCCCTGAAGAAGCTCTAAAGTACGTCGATTTGTATGGTTTTTTATCTACTGCTAATTCTCAATTTTGATAGTTACTTCCTTTGAAAATTAGGTACTATGATGTTTGTCTTCCATTAATTTTTGACGCAAGCAATGACGAAAATTCAGCTGTTAGACAGGTTTGTACATCTTTAGCAGTTGTAACAGTTTTCAGTCAAGTTGCATTTACTATTTGATTTGTCGGAGAACCATATGTCATATTCAGGCTGTTTTTTATGGACTTGGACTGTGGGCGGAATATGGCGTTCTTCTTTCAAACCTTTTGTTGTAGGTACTAGATTAGTTTTGGCCCGCGCTTAGCACGGGCCCAATGTTGCAGTTGGAATAGTCATTTATGATTTCTCTATTTTGACATGAAATTATAGAAAAAAGAGATTGAATCACCCTAAATAAATATCATACCAAATATATAGCATTGCATATTAATTACGTCATAGTATTTACATTCATTTAGGAGCAAAGTTTTCCAAGCTGTAAAAAAGCTAACAAAACATCTATTCGTGGATAGTGTGTGGTTGCAAAACGGCATATTCTTTACATCCATGAGAAATTCATATTGTTTACGTTGTGATCCATATTGTTTACGTTGTGTGGTTGCAAAATGCATATCCTTTACATCCACGAGATTAACTTATACACACATACACTATTTATCTATTAGCAAATTGTAATGCAGCCACCTTGCAACGATTAGCATCCTTTTTGCAATCTTTGACAAAGTATCCTGTAGAGATTATTTGTTAGCCTTAGCTCACCGTATTTTTCATTATAAAAATAGAAAAGGGTATAAATGAAAGGAGTAGAGAAAAAGAACAGAAACATGAGAATTGAATTAGTTGGTAGTCAAGTATCGAAGTATCAAACAGGAAGTCATATTTGTTTTTTTATATAGTTTGATTGAATTATAACCTTTAAACACAGGTGACACTCTGAGTAGGATAGCTAAACAACTAATAAAATGTAAAGGTTTTATCCAATACTCTCTAATGCAAACTTCTACCTTTTTTTAAAGCAAAAAACAGAAATAGAAAACTGGCCAATTTTTCATTCCACAAGGGTTCTATATCAAGTCTTCTTCTTATTTAATCAATCCGAAATCAGTATTTAGGAAAAAAGCTTTCACCTGTGGCAGGATAATATTTATCATGCTATGCGCACTATTATGCAACATAAAATAGGCAGTAAATAATTGACAAAAGCTAGAGTTATCAACTTATGCATAAATTAAGTGAAATGATATGAACTACAATGTGGATAACAAATTTCTCGTCAAATGTCTATTCGTGTCACATTAAATATTTAGCTATGAAAAATTAAAGCTATTATTTTTTTGCCATCTACATGAATTGTGCACGGAGAAGATTTGTAGGGGAAAGAAAAGCAAAAGATCTATGCATCAATGCGAAAATCAGTTGCTCCCCATCCAAAGCACATACTGTGTTCTTTCCATACTCTATCCAAATACTGATTTGTACAATTTTACCTTTTTAGCAAAGTGATTAGTTTTCTAACCAACCTTTCTAGAAAACATTGCAAAGAAAACCTAATTCTTTTGTCCACTTTTTCAACATTGTTTATCCATAGCAAAATTGACATTGCGATAGATGATGACATGCATTAGATTGGAATGTTGAAGAACATTAAGCATATGAACATGAGTTCAGAGAGATAAGATCATGTCAATATGGTAAAAAATGTTTAATTTTTCACTTTTACCAAAGATTAGTAATAGATCAAGTAAGTGAGGTGTGTGGTTAAAACTGTAGGTTCGCAGGGTTGAGCTAGTTGGCGGAGATTACTTAGTCTAGTATTAGTTAGTTATTGAGCATGATATTTTTATAAGGCACATTTAGAGTGTAGTTGAAGCAAAGATATGAATTGCCAATAATACGAACGTGCATCTAACTTTGCAAAGTTAAACTGATTAAATGATTCTCATCTCAATTAATTACCATTAAAATCTTCTTACTGGAAAAATATCAAGCATTTCTGATTTAAGATCTAAATGAGTAACATAGTTTCTTATATGCCCCATTTGGAACAATGCAGATAGACCAAAGCTCTAGGTGATAATAGCAAACCTGCTGTTGTATGAGAAAGAAAGAAAAGTGGATAAAACAAAAGAAAGAAAAATCAAAAAGAGATGAACTTATGATGTAAGCGCTTACATCGGCACTCTTATAATGTATGCGCTTACATCAGCATTCGTATGATGTAAGCGCTTACATCGGCATTCCTATGATGTAAGCGCTTACCTCGGCAGGACATTTAAATGTCTATAAAAAGGGGTATGCATTTTCATTTGCAAATCATCCCTCAACTTCTTCTTTCACTTTTCAATTAATAAAGAGTTATTCTTTGTATGGCCGTGGAGTAGGCAAAATTGCCGAACCACGTAAATCTTGTCTTGTCTTGTGCAATTTATTACTTTTCTCTTTCAAATATTTTTCCTTTCTATCAGCCTGACACGTTTTTCAATAACTAGTATCAGAGCACAAACAGTGTAATTCTAGTAGAAAAGTACGTTATTGGTGCAGGTACTATTCTCAAGAATAGTGCGACATTATTGATCATCGTTACTATTCACAGGCACTATTCACATAAATTATTTTTGTGGAAAATGGCATCGGAAGAAGGGAAGGTTAAGATTGACAAGTTCAATGACAAAGATTTTGGATTTTGGAAAATGCAAATAGAGGATTATTTGTACCAGAAAAGGTTACACTTACCTCTGACCGAGGTAAAACCAGAGAATATGGCCAAAGCGGATTGGGATCTATTAGATCGCCAAGCTCTTGGTGTGATTCGTTTGACGCTAACACGAAATGTGGTGTTTAACATCATTAACGAGAAGACCACTGCAGGCCTGATGAAGGCGTTATCAAATATGTACGAGAAGCCATCTGCTTCAAATAAAGTCTATTTGATGCGTCGATTGTTCAACTTAAAGATGACAAAAGGTAGATATGTTACGGAACATATCAATGAGTTTAATGTAATATTAACTCAGTTGAGTTCTGTCAATATAACATCCGATGACGAAGTCAGGGCATTGATTCTACTATCATCTCTACCGGAGAGTTGGTCTGCAACAGTAACTGCAGTTAACAGTTCATCGGGAAGTACCAAACTCAAATTGGATGATATTAGAGACTTGGTTCTAAGCGAAGATATTCGCCGGAGAGAATCAAGTGATTCCCCAGGATGTGCTTTGAATACCGAAAGCAGGGGGAGAAACAGCCAAAGAGGACAAAGTCATGATCGTGGCAGATCAAAGTCAAGGAGAAGAGGGCAATTCAAAAATTGCAAAGACATTATGTGTTGGAATTGAGATAAAAAAGGCCACTATAGTAGTTAGTGTACAGAGCCAAAGAAGAAGAAGAACGATCAATACAAGGATGATAATTCAACAAATGTAACTGTTGAACAAGTCGGTGATGCACTAATTTGTTGTGCAGGCAGTCCAGCCGAATCTTGGATTCTCGACTCAGGTGCTTCCTTTCACTCTACATCACAAAGAATTATTGCATAAATATATTGCTGGAAAATTTGAAAAAGTTTATCTAGCAGACGGCGAACCTCTGGACATTGTCAAGAAAGGTAAAGTTTATATAAAGACTTCACAAGGCACGCTATGAAAATTGCAAAATGTCCGACATGTTCCTGTCCTCAAGAAAAATCTGATATCTATGGGTCAGATTGACAGTGAAGGATATACAACAACATTAATTAACGGATCGTGGAAGATAACCAAAGGAAATTTAGTTGTGGCACGAGGCTTCAAGAAGGAAACACTGTATGCAACTGCAATACAGCGAGATACTATAGCAATATTTGATCATGGTCGTGATACAACATTGTGGCACCGGAGGCTCGGGCATATGAGTGAGAAGGGATTAAAGTTGTTGGCATCCAAAGAAAAGTTGCCAAATCTGTCACGACCCGAAATTCCCACCTTCGGACAGTGATGGCGCCTAATATTTCACTTGCTAGGCAAGCCAATGTTAGAATAATATTTTCTATTTTTAAAATATTTTTTTAAATTTATTAATAACAAAGAACAAATGCAGAAGTAAAGTCTGAAATGTAGTGAATAATCCATAAAACTAACGATGTTTAAATACCATCCTAGAATTGGTGTCACAAGTGCACGAGCTTCTAGAATAATACAAATAAAGGTCTGAATAAAATAAAGTTGTCTGAAAATAAACACACAGCTAAAGTAAAATAGACGGGGACTTCAGAAATGCGGACGCCATGCAGTTATACCTCAAGTTTCCTCTGGTAGCTGTAATCCGAGCAAGTCTATGGTGCGCCGCTGGGACCAACTCCGAAATCTGCACAAGAAGTGCATAATATAGTATCAGTACAACCGACCCCATGTACTGGTAAGTGTTGAGTCTAACCTCGACGAAATAGTAATGAGGCTAAGGCGGGTCACTTACATTAACCTGTACGTAATATTAGTAACAACAACAAATAATAGAAATAAATCGGGTAACTCATTTATAATAATTGAAGCCAACTCAGCAGTCGTAACCAATTATCATTTCCATCAATTTCTGTTGCAGCGTGCAACCCGCTCTCACAATATATTCATATTCCATTCTGTTGCGGCGTACAACCCGCTCCTCCAATATACTCATTTTAATCAAGTATGTCATATACTTATTTCAATCAAGTATATATAGACTTTTAAATAAGCCTGTTGTGGCGTGCAACCCGATCCCCCAATATTGACTTTTAAATAAATCTATTGCGGCGTGTAATCCGATCCCCCAAATATTGACTTTTAATAAGTCTGTTGCGGCGTGCAACCCGATCCTCATATATATTCATTTCGATCAATTCTGTTGCGGCGTGCAACCCGCTCCTCCAATATACTCATTTACCAATTCTTATAGAAGAAATTTTCCCAATAAATGCAACAATTAATATAAAATTTTAAGACAACAAACATACAATAATTATGATTTAATTATGAAACAAACAATGACAAATAATAATTTATTATGGAAATCAGGGAGAAAATAGGCAGTTTAATATTTAATATGCTAAATGTCAAACAACAATTAAAACACATAATCCAAATAGCATGTAACAATTTATGCAGGAATGCAAGAATTAATATTTGACAAAGAATAAGAGAAAAATAATTATTATAATAATTAGTTTATGATTTAAAATAATTTATGATTTTTTAAGTAGGCAAATAATTAATTTGACAATGTATAAACACTCGTCACCTCGCCTATATATCGT